ATGTTTGCCAAACCTGGGGGTGCGTGCCTGTAATCCCAGCACTCAGGAGGCTGAGGCAGGAAGATTGCTGTGAGTTCGAAAGCAGCCTGGGCTACACAGTGAGTTCCAGAGCAATCTGAATTACATAGCGAGACCCCGTCTCAAAAAACAAACAGCAACAGCAACAAAAAAGTACATAGCTAGACCCTGTCTCAAAAAAAAAAAATAGTCAATGACTTACTCTGTTACAAAAGATTTTTTTAATCTACCCTTATAAATTCTGAGGGTCCTGGAAAACATAAAGGTGGTTCTACAAGTTACAAACACACAAAACAAGCAGTTAAAATATCACATCACTTTCTCTTCTTAGTCCAATTTAAATGCCATTTGTTTTTCAAGCTCTCAAATGTTCTATGGAATGGGGAAGCTACTGACCAGATTCTTCTGGATTATTTTAAAAACTGTCACCAAAGAAATTTTAGCTTTGCAAAGCCAACCACAAGCTGACATACAAAAAGAAATGAGAACTAAGCAATTTAGGGTGTTAAAAATAAAAATTATAAGTAGCAACAGTGTCACCCCACTTCCTTGGCTTTTTATCTCCAATTCTTTCAGAAACAAATTTGAGAAACATTTATGCTGTTAAGTTTTTCTGAGATGTTAAAGGAAACTGAGCAAGTTTTCATTTTTCCACCTAACTTATGATTTCTACATTTAATAGCCCATGGCAGGCAGAGTTTTGTTTCCATTAGAGTTGCAGAGCTATACATTTCTGCTTTTACTATAAGCATGTTTTCTCCCATAAAATTGGTTGTGGAGTTTTTAGGATTTCAAGTTTGTTGTTTTACAAAGTAAACAAAACAAAATATATATGATTTGAAAACATCTGATTAGTTACTCCATACACACTATCCTTGAGTTATGTCAAATGCTATTTTATTACTAAAATAAAAGAAAACTTTCATTCCACATGAAAAGTGTAGACATAAACATGGATGTGAAAAAGTGCTTAAATTCACTAGTAATTAAACTATTGCATGAGAAAAATAGTAAATATATATATTATAATAGATTTAGCTCAATGACACCACACCTGCCTTGCAAGCACAAGGCCCTGAGTTCAATCCCCAATACTGCCTAAAAAAAAAAA